TTGCCAGCCCCCCTCCCTGGCTGCACAGGCTGATATGCCCTGGGCCCCGCACACCCCTAGGGATGGCTCTGGTTATGAATGAAAACTTATAGTTAGTATATTAATGACCTGTTACATAAGATGTTATTGCCATTAATCAGGAGCATAAACACACACAGATAAATTGACAGATTGTCCAATGAGCAGGTTAATTGCTTACATCTTATTGCATTATTAAGTCTAAATGGCAGCCTTCAGTGTTATGTACTAGAAATGGCTAAATTTGAAAAAGTGCCTTTCACCATCTCTATTAAACATTATTGCTATGATGACCTGTGGCAGTCTTTCTCAGGTTTGTGAGGAGAATGCAAAGGTACTTTCTGCCTTATATCTGGCTTTGCATGCCTAGAGAACATGGAGTGTTTGGTGTGGAAGTTTGGCCTTTTTTAGTGCAGTTTGGCCCTATCTAGTGTTCCTGGGGTTTGAGGATATCTTTAGGTTCTGTGCTTTTTTTGCAAAAAAGAAAAGGAATCTGATTCCTTTTCTTTTTTGCTCCTTTTATTTAGTTTTGTGGAATGATGGGAGTCGGAGGCAGATATGAAAGGAAGTGTTCCTGCTGTGTAATTATAAGATTAGGCCATATTGTACAAGCAAATTTCTGTATTGGCTACATTCACTAAATGCTCAGTTAGAATGTAGCCATGCTTGTGTTGTAGTCATTCATTAACATTTCTGTAGAAACATTATAACCGTACACACATTACAAGTACATGCCACTATCTCCTCCTCCAACATTTTTTAATTGCTATACTCAAATTATTTGCAGGTTTATTCCTGAGCCCTGGTCTCCGTGCAGCACAACATGTGGCGATGGCATACAGGTGCGGGAGGTGAAATGCCGCATACTTCTCACTTTTACTCAGACAGAAGTGGAGCTGCCTGAGGAGGAATGTGAAGACCATAAGCCACTGACAGAACAAATATGTCACCAGGCACCATGTGATAGTGATCCTATTCCATACACCCCAGAGTTTTCACATGGAGAAGATGGCAGTTTGGTTTATGATTGGGAATATATTGGGTTTACTCCTTGCTCAGCCACATGTATTGGAGGTATTTTAACAATCTTTTTCTTCCGTGGTGTTTAAATTTAATGTTGGCAATGGCTCTTGCTGTTGTCTTGTACTGATGATTTTAGATGGGGTAAAAAACAAATACAGCATGAACTTTGAATTTAACCTGTTTATCTTCGATTAATGATCCCATCTAAAGGTATTTTGGGTTCCACGGGCCTCACATGGTTGTCCTGGAGATAAAATAGGTATGCCTTCTTTAAATCCTTGAAGCAGAAATTGGCTCTATCTAGCCAAGTAAGTTGCAAGAGGTCTGTGTCACAGCTGAGGCAGCAGTTAGTTTTTTATTATCAGATGACAAGCTACAAGGTAGCAGTTAAGTTCTCAGATAGTAGTTGGGTTTAGACATGTAACAAATCAGTGATGAATCTGCTTAAATGCTCTTTGTTCCTTCCCCCCAAATCATATGCATTCAGTTTTTGATCTAATATTTGCATATCAACAATCCTCTATCTTCCAAAATGCTGCCGTTTTCTGTGGAATAATGAATGTGGTTGGACAGAGACATGTATATCCATCAATGTGAAGTTCAAGCAGGTTTTTGTGTAGAATTCATTACAGTGTATCTCTCTGGAGGAAGTCTTGTGTCTGCAAATAGTTAGGCACATTCCTCCTACGATGTAACCAAATCTCCCGCTCATCTTAAGAACATGTTGCTGGCCAGTATTACAAGTGTTGCTACTATATACTGTACTTCACTGCCTGGACATAGAAGTGAATTATGAAGTGCTAAGTGGAAGCAGTGGAATTATGAGCACACCTGTGCCAGCTCTGAGAGCTCACCACCCCTCCCCCCACCCCCTGCTCTGCCAGCTCTGGCCACTTGTCACCCCCCACCCCCAACTGTTGACGCTGCCACCAGCTTCTGTGAGTTGAGTGGTTGCCATCCCCACTCCCTGGCTGCACAGGCTGATATGCCCTGGGCCCCGCACACCCCTAGGGATGGCTCTGGTTATGAATGAAAACTTATAGTTAGTATATTAATGACCTGTTACATAAGATGTTATTGCCATTAATCAGGAGCATAAACACACACAGATAAATTGACAGATTGTCCAATGAGCAGGTTAATTGCTTACATCTTATTGCATTATTAAGTCTAAATGGCAGCCTTCAGTGTTATGTACTAGAAATGGCTAAATTTGAAAAAGTGCCTTTCACCATCTCTATTAAACATTATTGCTATGATGACCTGTGGCAGTCTTTCTCAGGTTTGTGAGGAGAATGCAAAGGTACTTTCTGCCTTATATCTGGCTTTGCATGCCTAGAGAACATGGAGTGTTTGGTGTGGAAGTTTGGCCTTTTTTAGTGCAGTTTGGCCCTATCTAGTGTTCCTGGGGTTTGAGGATATCTTTAGGTTCTGTGCTTTTTTTGCAAAAAAGAAAAGGAATCTGATTCCTTTTCTTTTTTGCTCCTTTTATTTAGTTTTGTGGAATGATGGGAGTCGGAGGCAGATATGAAAGGAAGTGTTCCTGCTGTGTAATTATAAGATTAGGCCATATTGTACAAGCAAATTTCTGTATTGGCTACATTCACTAAATGCTCAGTTAGAATGTAGCCATGCTTGTGTTGTAGTCATTCATTAACATTTCTGTAGAAACATTATAACCGTACACACATTACAAGTACATGCCACTATCTCCTCCTCCAACATTTTTTAATTGCTATACTCAAATTATTTGCAGGTTTATTCCTGAGCCCTGGTCTCCGTGCAGCACAACATGTGGCGATGGCATACAGGTGCGGGAGGTGAAATGCCGCATACTTCTCACTTTTACTCAGACAGAAGTGGAGCTGCCTGAGGAGGAATGTGAAGACCATAAGCCACTGACAGAACAAATATGTCACCAGGCACCATGTGATAGTGATCCTATTCCATACACCCCAGAGTTTTCACATGGAGAAGATGGCAGTTTGGTTTATGATTGGGAATATATTGGGTTTACTCCTTGCTCAGCCACATGTATTGGAGGTATTTTAACAATCTTTTTCTTCCGTGGTGTTTAAATTTAATGTTGGCAATGGCTCTTGCTGTTGTCTTGTACTGATGATTTTAGATGGGGTAAAAAACAAATACAGCATGAACTTTGAATTTAACCTGTTTATCTTCGATTAATGATCCCATCTAAAGGTATTTTGGGTTCCACGGGCCTCACATGGTTGTCCTGGAGATAAAATAGGTATGCCTTCTTTAAATCCTTGAAGCAGAAATTGGCTCTATCTAGCCAAGTAAGTTGCAAGAGGTCTGTGTCACAGCTGAGGCAGCAGTTAGTTTTTTATTATCAGATGACAAGCTACAAGGTAGCAGTTAAGTTCTCAGATAGTAGTTGGGTTTAGACATGTAACAAATCAGTGATGAATCTGCTTAAATGCTCTTTGTTCCTTCCCCCCAAATCATATGCATTCAGTTTTTGATCTAATATTTGCATATCAACAATCCTCTATCTTCCAAAATGCTGCCGTTTTCTGTGGAATAATGAATGTGGTTGGACAGAGACATGTATATCCATCAATGTGAAGTTCAAGCAGGTTTTTGTGTAGAATTCATTACAGTGTATCTCTCTGGAGGAAGTCTTGTGTCTGCAAATAGTTAGGCACATTCCTCCTACGATGTAACCAAATCTCCCGCTCATCTTAAGAACATGTTGCTGGCCAGTATTACAAGTGTTGCTACTATATACTGTACTTCACTGCCTGGACATAGAAGTGAATTATGAAGTGCTAAGTGGAAGCAGTGGAATTATGAGCACACCTGTATGTGACAAGAATGATGACCTAAGTGGGAAGTGAAGACATTTGTACCCACAGAACCAATATAAAATGTAGAAAAGGGCTGAACAGCAACAGTTAGCAAATGGAGACACAATCTAGTGTTCATAGAAAGGTGCCTCCGTTGTGTTGTTCACCAATTGGAACGCTGAAGACAGAAGTTGGGAGGGATGCCCAGACCGCTGTCAACAGGATGGTAAGTGATTGGTGTAAATGGCTCCCTAACATTTTCTTTAATTGGTGACATTGGTCTACAAGGACACTAATGTACCTGGTGAGAAATGGTGCAAAGTCTTGTTAAGCCCAGTGGGCTTAATTGGGCATTATGGCCGCGTCCACACAAGCATGGACATTTACTTCCCTATGGATGGTGGCAGACTAGTAGGGGGCACTTCTGTGCTGAGCCACCCACCCCACAGTGCCTGTTCACCTACCAAGCTCCAAGTGCCTCTCCGGGGCACCTCACATCCTGCCAAATCTCTTCCAGGAGCACACCTGCAAACCTGGGGTCACCGCTGCCACCACCCAGAGGATCTGGTCTGTCTTTGGCCCTATGCCCCCTGGGGTACACAGGCCTTGTAGACCTTGAGGGTGCTTGACCCACTGTGAGAATTTGGGGTTCTTCCTTTAGCCTGAAGCACAAAAAATAGCCTCCTTTAGTTAGCCAGACCAAGGGGACATGGAGGCACCCCTGTCTCCCTCTCCTAGTCAGTTCACCACACTTGGTACAATGGAGAACTTTATTGAATACAGAGAGTAGGCTTGGGGGAGGGTACAAGATAGAGAAATATCACAGACTAACCTTAGAGCAAACAGTGTGGCTGGGTAGCCTTTCATCATACATCTGCATTACTGCAAGCTATATATTTAGATAGTTTCCAAATTCATGGTGTGTCCATGAGTTTCAAGAGACAGCCAGAGCCCAAGATGGAGGCCCCTTAAATGCCCTGTTTGACCTCACCTTCTATACCCAGTCAGGACAGGTTTTGTTGGCTGCTAGCCAATCAATTTAAAAAGCATCACTGGTTACTTGGTGGAGTGACAGGGGCTCCCACCCCTGCCCCCCATGCCATGAGATCACTGCTTAGGACAATAGAGATCTCTCCCCTCTCATCAGTCGTGTAAGCAGAGCTGGTTGCTTAGTGACCGGAGTGATAGACACCTGAGATTGAGGGAAGGGGACACAGACTAGCCCCAGAGTGAGGAGGAAGCCAGAATGGGATTTCATCACAGGGACAACTAGCAGCAGCACACCTTGTGCCACCTCCAGTTGTCCCCAGGGAACACCTGTGTCACACGTCCTCTACTGCATGTCAGGTTACCCCAAGCGGGGTAAGGGAGGCTGGATCCAACATTAGGCTAGCTGCAGCAGCCTTACTTGGGGTTCTGGGGGCCTCCTGGGGCTGCAGCAGTGGTGTGCACTGCTCTGCTTTTTTTTGCTTAGGTTTTGACCCCTGGTATCCAGGGGTCACCCCCCCTCCCCTCCCCATGCTGCTCCCTTGCATTGTGGAGAACAGATGAATGTGCAGTATGTGATGCCACATACTGCATGGCCACGCTCATCTAGACATGGCATATAGGTGCTAAAGCCCAAAAAGATACAAATCACAGTGTGTTTGTATGAGTTGTTTGCAGCTGTAGTAATGATGATCTTATTTTATCTATCTACATTTTTAATGTCAATAATATATTTTAAAGCAATAATGAAAACAGAATTATAAATTAGGAATAAAGGCGTTTACTACCTCCACATTTTTAATCCTCTTAATTTTACTATCTGAACTAAATGTCAGAAGTTATTATAAAGCCTCTGAAGCAAATAATAAAGCTTAAGACCTGATTTTGCTTCCACTGTAGCCTAATGAGTATTTTGCCGTAGGATAGGCATAACTAGCAGGGTTTGTGCCTGGAAGAGTCAAGAGAAAGGGGGACCCTGAGTGCCAAAAGAGATGGGTACTGAAAGCAGCAGGAGTCTTACCTGCTCTGGAAACTCAGCTTGCTGCTGTTCCTGTCATGGTATGGTCTGCCCACTCCATTTGTTGCTCCTGCAGCAGCAATGGCATGAGGCTGCTGCTGCGGAGGGCAGAAACTCCCTCCAGAGGGACCATTCTGGTGCCCAACTAAGTTCACAGCCGGGGCTGGTGTCCTGCTCATCCCTCACCCTCCAAGTTATACTACTGAGCTGCAGTCTACAATATTTGTCCTTTGTGATTTCATGAGGCAATTCGACCCAACCTTTCTGTCTAGATGTCAATGTATTGAAAACACTTCTAAGGCATGTACTGCATAAGAACCATTTGAAGAATGAGCCAGTGTTTGACATCAAAGGTGTTTCCCTCTATGCTCTTGGGGCTTTGGTGTTATCTCTAGCACCATACACTGAGATATTCTTCATACGTGCTGCTCCCAGGAAATGTGGGAAATTAACGGTGTTGCGTACTTCCAGAAATCCCTCTGTTCTTATACTACTTAGGTAGTAGCGAGCTTGTCCTGCTATTAGTTCTGTTTGTCTTCCTGCCTTAGCAAACACCTTTGAACATATCACAAGCTGCCTGCAGATAAATAGTTTTAAGAAACCAGACTTTCTTCTTGTTTCAGTTTTTTGCACTGCACTAGCCAATTATTTTGCTTTGTCTACTAATTTTTCTATTGTGCAGGCACAGAGGACCTGATAAATTTCTTTTCAGTTTTATGTTCAAATCTCATTTCAATGAGATGAACTATGTACTTCCAAAAAAAAGGAAAATAAGGTTTGGAATATTGAGAATTAACATAAATGATATTAGCTTCTGTTTCTAGCATGCGTGTAGCTAGCACGACTATTAAAATACATTTCTAAGGATATCTGTATCCTTTTCTTTTCTACCCTGCACTTTTCTCTCAGTGCCCACCTTTCCCTGATTGAGGGGAAAATCTGGGTCTGAAAAAGCTACAGACTTTATTGCTTCTGGAGCAAAGACGATATCTGTGTTCAGTATTAGATTTTCCCCTCAAGTTCTTCCACAGACCAGACATTTAATTTAAATTTTTTCCTGGTCCATATCATAAAAGGAGGTAAAATGCAGACAGTAACATTCTTTTAGAAATATAAAAATTATGAAGAAAATCCACTCTAAAACACATAATCAAACATCATCTTTCTCTCTATTTTTACAAAGCTTTTATAGTTATAGAAATTATAAACGTATTGTTAACAAGATAGCTTCAGTTATCCTGCATGATTTCTGCACTGCTTCTATATAAACCATTTTGTGGCTCATCATGTCTGATATTGGATGTCATAAAATGACTGCCTTTGAGGGCTGTTAGGTTATGTTATGCCTGTTATCATAGTTATTACTTCTGTCATCAGTCTGCTCATAAATGAAAATAGATGTCCTCTATGTTAGTCGGTGAAGCAGACATATTAAAGATCCCAAAGAAACTGCACCATGATCCAAAAGGTTGAAGAATTGACTGTCTAGCCTCAGTGCCTGAAAAAAATTCAAGAAATTGCAAAGTCAGAAGTCCAGTCAGTGTCAAATTTGTAGTTCTTTGCTCATATGAGCCCTTAATCTGACAGACTCGCATTGACTTATTTAATATTTTTCCTGACTAAACCTGAGTAGGGAATTCAATATTTGTCTTTGTATTCCCAGCATGATTTCCCTGTTGGAAGAAATATATTTTTGCTGTGAGGACATGGCGCATATGCATGAAGCAATATGCAAAATGTTGTCTTCAAGAAATAATGTCTGTTATAGTATATGCCTGTCAACAAGGGAAATGTTTCTTTATATCTGAAATATTTCTTTAGTGTCACTTCCATCATTTAACAAATCCCCTGTTTTAAAGGGATAATCTCAATTTAAAAATTATGAGATATAATTAAGAACAGTTTCTTTACAAGATTCCTAACAATTCCTTTAATTATAAAAGCAATTCTTGCAAATCCAAAGTACTCATCATGATTAATATGCCTAATAATATTTGCATATCTTTCCAATTGCTTAATAAGAATTAGTTAATGTACAGGTCCCTGTACACATGCAAGTAAAGACACAATGGGATCTAATACGTGATACACACAATTGCACTTTCTGCTATGTCACACGTGCATGGCAGGAAGCATGACTGTGGGATCCAGCATCTATTCCTAGCATGCCTTATTGGTGGTGCAGAAGGAGCCTGATTCTAGCAGGAAGCAAGCTCCCATGGCTGGGA